GGTAGCGCCGTGGCACTGTGCATGGTAGCACCCTGGCACTGTGCATGGTAGCGTCGTGGCACTGTGCATGATAGCACCGTGTCACTGTATGGTAGCACCGTGGCACTGTGCATGGTAGCACCGTGGCACTGTGCATGGTAGCGCCGTGGCACTGTGCATGGTAGCACCGTGGTACTGTGCATGGTAGCGCCGTGGCACTGTGCATAGCACCGTGGCACTGTGCATGATAGCACCGTGTCACTGTATGGTAGCACCGTAGCACTGTGCATGGTAGCGCCGTGGCACTGTGCATGATAGCACCGTGTCACTGTATGGTAGCACCGTGGCACTGTGCATGGTAGCGCCGTGGCACTGTGCATGATAGCACCGTGTCACTGTATGGTAGCACCGTGGCACTGTGCATGGTAGCGCCGTGGCACTGTGCATGATAGCACCGTGTCACTGTATGGTAGCACCGTGGCACTGTGCATGATAGCACCGTGGCCGGTTTGAGCAGAGTATTTCTCTTGGTGGTAATTCAACGTTATCTTTAGCTTTGAGGTATGCTTATAGCCTACCCTTTGCTTATAGCCTACCCTTTGCTTTGAGCCTACCCTTTGCTTTGAGCCTACCCTTTGCTTTGAGCCTGTCCTTTGCTTTGAGCCTGTCCTTTGCTTTGAGCCTGTCCTTTGCTTTGAGCCTGTCCTTTGCTTTGAGCCTGTCCTTTGCTTTGAGCCTGTCCTTTGCTTTGAGCCTGTCCTTTGCTTTGAGCCTACCCTTTGCTTTGAGCCTACTCTGCTTTGAGCCTGTCCTTTGCTTTGAGCCTACCCTTTGTTTTGAGCCTACCCTTTGCTTATAGCCTACCCTTTGCTTTGAGCCTACCCTTTACTTTGAGCCTGTCCTCCACTAAATATAGCAATATAAAATTAGTGCCATGGTTGAAAGGTAGCGAGTTGCAAGGAGTAACCAGGAAGTGGGTTCGCTGTAGCGAGGGTGTTCTCATTAGCGGGGGTGTCATCATTAGCGAGGGTGTCCTCATTAGCGAGGGTGTCCTCATTAGCGAGGGTGTCCTCATTAGCGAGGGTGTCCTCATTAGCGGAGTCTCTGCTAATGAAGGAAGGGGAATTATCAGGGGGGAAACGCCAAGCCATTACGACTATATAGCTCTGTGAAGGGGTCAGGATAAGGATTTGGGATGGGACGGGGGGAAAGGAATGTTCGGCCGACCACTTGGACGGTCGGGGGATTGAACGCCGACCTGCATGAAGCGAGACTGTCGCTCTACCGTCCAGCCCAAGTGGCCGGGTCACTGCTAATGAGTGAGCTCTAACTTTTATATCCTTCATGACTGTAATAAGGTTGACGAAGAAAGACTAAATGTAGCCCAGATTATTTTCCGGATTATAGCAGTGAAGTTGACTCTTAATTTAACATTTCTCTCACAAGAAGACATTATGAGCCCATTATGTGCCTCTGTAACCCTTTCCACTACCGCCCACAAGATGGGTATGGGGTGCATAATAAATGAGAAGACATTGGGAGGAGGAAATGGTGACGGAGGGGAGAGATGGGGGGAGGCTAGTGGTTATGGGGAGGTGTCTGCAGTGGTGCTCTGCTTGGGCGAGGTGTCTGCAGTGGTGCTCTGCTTGGGCGAGGTGTCTGCAGTGGTGCTCTGCTTGGGCGAGGTGTCTGCAGTGATGCCCTGCTTGGGCGAGGTGTCTGCAGTGGTGCTCTGCTTGGGCGAGGTGTCGGCAGTGGTGCTCTGCTTGGGCGAGGTGTCGGCAGACTCCCTGGTGGTCACCGGTGTACATATTGATGCTGGGCTCGGGCGCATCTCCGGACTCCTGATGGGGCGGAAATCCATCGTCGGGGAGGATGTAGGCGGGTGCCAGGTGAGGCGGGTGCCAGGTGAGGCGGGAGGCAGTGGGAGCTGCGGGTTACAACAGGGACCACGAAATAGATGAGTCAATGCTGTGAATAGTGGAGATAGAAAACAGGAAGCTAGTGGAGGAGATAGAAAACAGGAAGCAAGTGGAGGAGATAGAAAACAGGAAGCTAGTGGAAGAGATAGAAAACAGGAAGCTAGTGGAAGAGATAGAAAACAGGAAGCTAGTGGAAGAGATAGAAAACAGGAAGCAAGTGGAGGAGATAGAAAACAGGAAGCTAGTGGAGGTAGAAAACCGGAAGTGGAAATTAATGTTTTTTAAAATTAAGGCTAGGGGTCAAAAGAAATATCAATTGATGTTCCTAGTGAAACTGCAAGCAAGAGCTGTTATCCTACATCAACTTATTTGAAGGCTACCCCTAGAGACTCCTATATTTGATGAGCTTATTATTTGTATAAATAAATAATAAACTAACTTGAATGCTAAATAATTATTATATAAGAAACAGGCTGAACCAGGAGCCAACTGTGTACCAGAGTTATCATGTTATTAGTTGACTTGATTTTACACATCAAAGTGTTGAACAACCTGTTGATAACTGAGCACCTTGCGTTAAAGATTCCAACTCCTGGTTGTCTTCGAAGTTGGACCAGGTGCGGAACTTTGAGAATACTGGCCTTATACATAACTTTATGTCTACCAGCAGTTCGACGGTATTGGTGGCTCTCGTGGTATTGGTATTGTGATTATTCCAAATTCATAGTTCATGTTTAGTGGAAAGAGACTTCATTAGGCGAGTGCAAGGCTCTTGGCGACCCATAATCACATTGATCTCGGTAATAGATCTCCTGGGACGAATTGACTGGTTTCACAACCACGAAAATGGAATGATTACGATTGTGCATCTGTATAGGGAAAGATTTAGTTTCTTCTGTCTAAGGGGAATGACTAGATTGTTTCCCTGTGTAAATAGGGAATGGTACGATTGTCTCCCTGTGTACATAGGGAATGACACGATTGTTTCCCTGTGTAAATAGGGAATGGTACGATTGTTTCCCTGTGTACATAGGGAATGACACGATTGCTTCCCCTGTGTACATAGGGAATGACACGATTGTTTCCCCTGTGTACATAGGGAGTGACACGATTGCTTCCCCTGTGTACATAGGGAATGACACGATTGTTTCCCCTGTGTACATAGGGAATGACACGATTGCTTCCCCTGTGTACATAGGGAATGACACGATTGTTTCCCCTGTGTACATAGGGAATGACACGATTGTTTCCCCTGTGTACATAGGGAATGACACGATTGCTTCCCTGTGAGTAGTGTAAAAGGAGACAAATTGAGGTAAAATTTTTCAGAAACGGTTGGGCACTTCCATGCCGACTTGACCCTGGCGGTCGGATTCGTCCAACCCTCTTGTTTTAGGTGGTTAGGTTAGGGCACAGTCAGCGCGCTCCTGGCTGGCTGGCGGGGGTGGGGTGGTGGTCCCCCCTGGGGTCCCGGGGGGACCACCACCCAGGGTATACCTGAGGAACTGGTGCCCTATCCTAACCTGTTTTTTTTTACTTTTTGTCGCTTTGCTTTAAGATGAGTCTATTGCCTCAAGAAGGGGGTCTCTACTTATGAGAGTTACCGAGGATGAATGTTCAATAGTTGGAAACCAAAAAATACACTGGTGAAAGGCATATAAACGTTTTTGGAGTATTTTAATGGCATGAGCAAAAATTCACGATTTGTCCCGGGGGTGTTACGAGAGTACTACGGTATCAATTTGGGGGCCCTTACTTTTGAATGGATCAGAGGGTGAATGTTCAATAGATTCAAACCAAGAAACACAGTTGAAAGCGAATATAGAAGTTTTTGGAGTACTTTAATGAGGCTATGACTGAATAGTATAGGGAGCCCTTGGGCACAGCTCCATTTTCTGTAATGGTCAGAGGTGGATAACCCCAGTGGGGGTCAAGCATACAAGGGGGGGGGGGGTCAAGATTCCTTACAAAGACCAAGTTGGATATATATAGGTGTAGTAAGCCTTATCTTGAATTTGCATGATACTGTGGGGTACATTGACATGAAGGGCGAGTCATAGAACAGGATCTGCATGTGAGATGGGTCATATTGGGGTTTTAAAGAAGTTAAGATAGCTTTAAAGAGTCCTGTGTGCTTGATAGTGGGGAAATGTTCAGTCAATAATTCTCGTGTTTTGAATCTGAATGAGGGGTCCTAGTTTGCGTTCTAGTCGTAAAATGAGTTCCTTAGTATATTTGCTATGGAAAATGAGCTTTCAGTACTCTATATAATTTGAAATGAGGTCAAGAAAGACATGTTTATGTGCGAGAAGAGTCAGGCTGGAAACTGTTTATTCCAGTCATCCCCCCTTGGCTTTGCTCCGTTTTCTGTAGCTAAAGTAAAGATTCCATTTTCTGTGGCATTCAGTTGATTACTGGTGAAAAAGGCATACTTGCATTTGTATGGTTCTAACCTGTTTATAGATTTTATAGATATATTTTTCGGGCCTCAAATTAGATTTTAATATGAAAAATAGCATCAAATGTATGTCTATCTTTTGTAATAAACGTTACAAGCATTAACAATACCTGTGATATTTCATAGAATACGAAAAGAAGTTTAAATAGTGGGGCCTCAGCCATATTGTGTTGGGTTTGACACTCCAAACATTAATTTGACCCTCGTAAATATACTATAAAGAAAAGTAGTTGAGTGGTTTAAGCAATTTAATACGTACTGGGAATCTGTTCGTATTCTGTATTAAATTTCATTTTTTAACATCATAATAGTTTTCAGCTATTGTGGTGGGGGCCCAATAACTTCATATAGCGCATCGACTGGCGCTATCTGTTGCTATGAAATGCTTTTTGAAATCATGTGTTAAAATTTAAAAGTCGACAGTTGCCATTTATGTCAGTGCCGTGGTATATCAAGCGCAAAGGTTTTCAGAAAATGTTACACCTCCACCTTTCAAAAAGTGAAAAGATGAATTCATTTTGGCATTACTGTCATTACTTTGGAAGTTTTTTAATTATAGCACATGCTTAAACAAACTCGCTCGCAAAAACAAACTCATTTTTTTTGTTCAACTTACACAAATAAACCCAGGGCTTTCACAT